GTTGGCAGCAGTGATCTTCCTGTCACTGTATTCTGTGAACTTTGCTCACTTCACTGGCTGAGATCTATTGACTGCACAGAATGTGCCACCCCAGGGCAGGAGCAGCTGCCTGTCAATGTGCAGCAGGCACTTTGTGGATTGATGGGGCAGGAGCACAGGGAGCCAAGAGCTGTCAGGCCAATAGCCTCAGTATTCTGCAATGTTTGTGTCTGTACATTCCCACAGTAGTCATGGTTCACAGGGAGACAAGCTGCCATCTGGGATTGTCCCACAGACCCCTGCGATCCCTCCAAGAGATATTGCAGTTTGTGCAGGCAGCAGTGATCTGCCCACAACTGCTTTTCCTCACTGCATTAGCCACGGTCTGTTGCCTGCGCAGAATGCGCAGCTGCAGAGAAAAGCAGGGTCGGGGAGGCTGCCTGTCAACGGGCCGCAGGTACTTTGTGGCTTGGGTGAAGTTGGATCACAGGGAGACAAGGACCTCAGTTTTGCTGCAAATTCTGTGCCCAGCCATTCCCGCTGTAGTCACAGATCACAGTGAGACCAGCTGCCATCTAGGCTGGTTCCACAGATGCCTGCAATCTCCCTACTCGATATTGCAGCTCTTGCAGGCAGCAGAGGTCTGCTTGCCACTGATTTTCCCTCAGCGCCAGCCTTGTGCTAGCCAGTTTGTTGTCAGTGTGGATAGAGAGCCCCAGGGGGAGGGGCAGGGCAGTGATAATTGACTGTAATGGGCTGCCTGGGGCAATTTGTGGATTGAGTGGGGCAGGGTCTTAGGGAGACAATGGCCATCAGAACAATACAGCCTCAGACTTGCTGCAACTTCGGTAACCAGTAACCATTCACGTGTTCCCACAAAAGTCACAGATTGCAACAAGGCAAACTACTGTCTAGGACTGGCCCACAGATCCCCGAGATCTGCCCAAGTTCATGTTGGCAGCAGTGACCTGCCTGAAACAGTCTCCACAAAGCTGGCTGCCAGCTGTGAATGCCTGGTCCTGAAAGGGAGCAGGGTGTGGCAGCCACCCAACAACAAAAGCCCCCGGGGAATCTGCAGGTTGGGTGGTGCGGGCCGATCTCCTCAGGCCAGCACTTCAATATTGGAGCTGTGACTCTGCAAGGGTAAGCTGGCACAGCCTGTAAATTGCCCCATAGGGGGAACCCAACTAAGGCACGATGGTGGCTGCCCATCAAGTCCTCGTTCTGGCCA